CAGCAGGAGTCAGTGGTCGGAAGAAGAGATTATAGAAAACTTCCTATTTAATGTGGACCCAAGCCTTGGGAGGGAAGTTAAGGAAGCTCGACCGAAGGATGGGAAATGGACTACGTACAAGAAGAACCTCGTTGAGCTTTACAAATTGGAGGATAACAAKTATTCCATTAAGGACCTTGAAACAATGACTCAAGATGAAGATGAGAGCGTACGGGCATTTGRGATGCGTTTCCAGAAGATCTCCGACGTGCTGATGAAGAAGGGGAAGATCTCAGAGGTCGAGCGTTGTACTATCTTTATCGGACACTTGTCCAAAGGCAGGCAAAAGAGTATACTTAAAGATCTTCCGCGCGACAGGCTTGATTTCCCAGAAGTTCTAAAGCTCGCGATAAAGGCAGAGGCCGATGATTACAAGGACTTGGTGTGGAGAGGGATGAGGAGACGTGACTTCTCTCTCTACAAGGAGTATGTCACTGATAGATGTCCTGATTTCAAGGACTATCCCTGGTCGGAGAAGAATGAGGCCGTGGCTGAGGAAGTGAAGGAGATACGGGACATGGTGAAGGGATTAACGAGACAGGTTACAGAGATTGTGACCGCTACAGGGGCCACGGCCTACCGGGACAAACCTGGAGGGCCCTATTCACTTCGCTGGGACCGTAGGAACAGCGGTCTCTGGAGGAGTGTCGAGGATAGAAATCCTCGGACGCTGATTGATTATCGTACGAGGGAGAGGGAGCGAGACGATGAATTATGGCGACGTAGGGACGATGAGATAGACCGAGACCGCAGAGATCGCGAGCTGTTTGTGCGAGTAAGGAGGCTAGATGATTATCCCCGAAGCCCTCGCTATGAGGCCGATCGGGGTAGGGGCGGCTCCCGCGGCCGATGGGATAGGGACGACAGATACGAGAAGACGGGTCGAGATGGCTACAGAGGAAGTAGATATGAGAGAGGAGATCGGGACTGGGAACGACAAGATGGGTCGCGCGGACGGTTTGAGCGCGAGGGAGATGCGAGAGAGCAGCGCGACGAGTCGCGGGGGTGGTACAACCGAGGGGACCGACGCGATGAGTCACGAGGACGATATAACTCGGGGGACCGTCGGGATGATTCGCGAGGGCGGTATGACCAAGGAGGGTTTGGAGGAGACCGGCGCAACGATCCGCGCGGTCGGAATGAGAGARGGGGATATGGCGTCTCATCATAACCATATCCCAAGTCGCCTGACCCCAAGGCGGCCAGGAGTTCGATCTTTAGAGGCGCAGACGACAGGGCATCTACTCCGAGGAACTCATGCGTCTACTGTAGAGGAGAAGATCATATCAAGAGAGATTGCCCGGACCTCAAACGGGCAATAGAAGAAGGACTTGTCGTGCTTGACGACCGCAAGTACGTCAAGTGGGCAGATGATCTCGGAGATGTATCGATGTTTCCTTCGATGAAGGAGAATGTCGAAGCAAGGTGAATAAAGACGAGTAAAGGAATGGAGCCGGTCAGGAGCAAGAGCATCAAGATAACCTTTGAGGGGGACATGACGACCACACCCATAAGGGTGGCAGCCACCAAGTTGGCGAGAGGATCTACATCTAAGAAAACTGAAACGGATTACGTGATGGCGGAGAAGGACGGGCGGCGGATCGATGGAGAGGAGGTTATCCTTTCGCCGCGAAAGAGGGGAGTGAAGAAGTTCTTAATGAAGAGCTCGTTGGACGAGATTGACACGGTAGAGCCATTGAGGCGGGCCCTTCGGCAACCCATGCAGTGCTCTATTCTGGAGTACCTGGCGGCATCGAAGCCGGCTCGTGATGAGTTACAGATGATCACGCGGACGACTCACATACCTCTATCGGAGGAGGGTCACGCCCCTAAGGCGGAAGCTTCTACAGTAACAGTAACGGGGGTGACTGCCAGAGCGGATCGCATGGCGACAGTCCTTCTCGATGGAATGGAAGGTGTGCC